AGATAGATAGATAGATAGATAGATAGATAGATAGATAGATAGATAGATAAATACATAGATACATAGATAGACAGGTAAAACATAGAACAGCCGCTACATAATGTATGTGGTAAACTGTGCTAGACAAAGGTATTAAATATAGCATTGTAATGATGTTTGGAATGGTTAAAAGTGTCTGGAATGCAATCTAATATTTTTAATTTATAACTAGGTATATTCCTGAGAATACTTAAGTGTTACACAGGCAAATTAAAATTTTTAAGCAAAGAATATTAAAAGAAATGTTGGAAACAACCACTGGGAAACAATTTTAATGCTAACTATAAAAGTCTAGGATGCGCTCTTGGTCCTTTCTCTCTTGGTCTCTCTTGCTCCTGGCCTCTTCTCTCTTGGCCTTCTCCCCTTTCTCTATCGGGGCGCCCCCTCTCTCTCTTTCCCCTCTCTTACTCTTTCTCTCCATGTGTCCTGCTCTCCCTTTTTCCATCCATCTCTACCTAATAAACCACTTTCATATAGAAAAAAAAAAAGTCTAGGATGCTATACCAAAATTTAGATGGAAATTTTTATCTCAAATATGAACCATATGATGGAAAACAAATTGTAATTAAGAGATTACTATTAATTATATCCTTGCTTAAATGCAAACGATTAACAACCTACATGATAATAAATGCGATGACTTGCCTAGATGCTTAGGAAAAGTCTCATTTTTCAAATGAGAAGACAATTGATAAACCACAGCAAATTTCAGTAAGTCCTTGAACACATAAGAGCCAAGCCAGAATCTAATTTTGTGTGTGTGTTTATTATTTTATGAGTGTGTGTGTGTGGTGTGCTCCCACCTGAAGACCACTTTACCTGTCACCCTCGGGGAGGCTGTCCACCTCCTTTGGGACAGGTTCTCCCGTTAGTCTGAAACTCACTGATTAGACTGACTGGCCCCAGCTTGTGCCACCACACCCAGCAGTTTTACATGGGTGCTGGAAACTGAATTCGGGTCCTCATGTTTGCAAGGAAGGCACATTACTGGCTGAATCATTCCCCCAGTCCCATTCAACTTAATTCTGGATGTAGCAGTGAGTTTGTTAAACTTCAAATGTTGGAAATTTCTACAGCGGAGAGTGCAGTGTACTTCCCTCGTCTACACCTGTCATAATTATCCACAGCACACAATAAATCTTTCGTCTTCACCACATTCACCAAGCCCATTCAGTCCCTCTGCCTCCTGGGTTATTTTGAAGCAAGCTAAGACATACGATCTCATATATTAATACTTCAGTATGTGCAGGAAGACATTTTTGAACCCGTATCATAAAACTGCCGTAAGACTAACTGGCATGGATATTAATTTGTAATGTAGTTAAATATTTTTAAGCAAAAGTCACTCTTGCACAAAGTTTCCATGCCAATTAAGGAAAAGACTTCATATTACTAAAGTGAAATAAATGAGTATTAAGGAGACATTAAGTCCACACCCTTTAACTTAAGGGGAGAGCTAATTTGTCCATTTGTATAATCCTACACACCTTGACTGTCGCTTCTTCGCAGCCCAAGTAATGGAAAGTGCTGTAAAAATAGAACATGGATGTGTTTTTATTACGTTCAAGCAACCGCAGCAGGCCATGTAGCTGCCTTGCAGCATTTAAGACTGCAGTCTAGGACTCCAGATATCCAAGGCTAATGAATAAATATGCTATTGAGGTAGAATGTTTTGGAGAGGATTAAATTAAGATCATTGTGGCCAAATAGTTTATTTAAAGCTATTAAGAGGAAAGCCACTGGTTCAGAGCCAGGTCCCTTTGAGTTATTTCTGTTGGGAAATTGTTTCTCAAGCTTCCGTCTTTGAGAGGCTGAAAGGTCAGTGTCTCTGGGTTACCGACACCAAGGATGTTTCTGATGAAAGATTTTAACCAGTAAGACAATACTGAATAACTGGAGTAAGCCGTAGCAATATTTCCACTAAATCACTTTTATTAGTCCTTGTACAATTTTCATCCGATGTCACTGTTTTTACTGAAAACTTTCAATACAATTGTGCTAGCCTTGCCATGTTATAGCCACTGTACCGTTTGCCTCACTTTTGGGTGCTAGTCTACCAGAGCTAACTGCTCTATGAATACGGATAATTCTACGGATTAAAAAAAAAAAAAAAAAACAAAAAAAACATCAGATTTTGTGTCTGATCATTAAAGTCATGTGCTGTGTTAGTCATTCTCATTTTTCACTTGTGATGTTTCTGACAATAATATACATTAGGATATAGACAAAAGCTTGCGTTTACAAGTGTATGGAGTTTTGTGAGCATGAATGAGAAGCGGCTCTATTATCTGTCACCTTTTTCTTGCAGGCTTCATCTAGATCCTCAGTTCCTGAAAGCAGAGTGCTTCGAGGCCCTAGAAAAAAATGCCTATTGCAGCACAGTTTGTGAATTTTCATTATAAAAAGGACGAAGGATTTTTAAGGTTGGCTCATAATCTGTTCCAGTATGGACGTGCTGGGGTGTGAACACAAACGCTTTAAAAGGCCAAAAAGGTCACACACCGTGACGCGACAAACGCCGCTGATGTAGTGAGAGACGGCCCGAGGAGGACTCTCAGCTTAGAAAAAGTTGTTTTCCCTAGATCGCAGCCTGATGTAGAAGACAAAACAAAGCAGAAACAAACTAATGAACAACAACAACAAAAATCGTGAGTGCTAGCTTTTGTTTGTTTGTTTGTTTACGATGCTGTCCTCACAGGAGGCAGAGGGAGAGGGAACGGCCGTGGCTTCCGGCTTCTGCCTTTTCCTTTAAAAGGGCCTGACTTAGCGACACCGACGCGTGCCGTCGTGTACCAGATGGCCGAGAACACCACAGCAAACCCAGTAGTCAGGACGGCTCCGGGACCGGGCGGGCGACCCGGGGAGACGCAAAGCTGACAACTGTCACTGGGGAACCGGGACTGAAGAAGCCAAGCTCTAAATCCATGACAAAGCCCTTCCCGGTCTCCAAGCGTCGCCATGACAACACGGCCCAGGGCTGGCGCTGATTGGCCGGCGCGCGCGCGGGGTTTTCTGGGAAAAGGCGCTGCGGGGCCCGACTCTTGCGGTTTGAACTTGGCGGGTCTGATGCAGGCGGCGGGGCCATGGCGAGCCTGATGCAGGCGGCGGGGCCATGGCGGGAGGCCACTTCGGTTGTGTGCACCCGCTACCTCGTCCGCTGCCAGCTTGCCTCCCGACCCTCCTCCATCTCTGTCGCCGACCTCATGGCGGACCCTCGGGGCCCAGGGCTGGAGGAGGTAGCGTTGACTCAGTGCCTGTCGCCGCCGTCTATGAGCTGCAGCAACTCCACCCTGTCCCTGTTGTCTCCCCTTGGCCACCAGAGCTTTCCGTTTGGGGAGGACGACAGTGAAGGGGAGGATGAAGAAGCCCTGAACGGAGATCCCCGTGAGTCAGAGGCCAAGATGGAGAGCCTGGAAAGAATGGAGTTACAGGGGCGCTCCAGGTAAACTCAAGGCCCGGCCCTCATAGCCTTGTAGAGGCTCCTTAGAGGTGGTATTCAGAGCCCTTTGCCGCCCACCCCAGCCCCCGTAGTCTCGGGTTTTCCAATTCAAAGGCTGTGCAGCACCTGCATCTTGGGGTGCTGGGCAGATTCTCCAAAAGACCACTGATTTCCGGTGATTCTTACTCCCTTTCCCTGAGGCTGATTGTTACAGTCTCACTCTCCATGGAAGCCAAACTGTACGCATTCGGAAGCACACAAAACTTTGCTGTCAGGAGTCTTAAAAATCCTCCAAAGCCAAATCGTTGACTCCAGAGCTCTTACCCATAAATTTAACCTCAAAATATGTGTAGTAGGTACTCGGTTGTAGTAGGTAGGTGCTTTTAATATAAAGGGCTGAGTACGGACATCAGTAATGTTCTTATTCTGCAGGAACAAGTTAACTCTGATCTGAGTAGGAGCATTTAATTGGAATAGTGAATGTTCTTCGGGGAGGGGGTCCACTATTACCACCATCTAAATATGCTTACCTACATTTATATTACATCCAGCAAACATTTACTACTTTGTCACATGTTAGTGTAGGTAGAGGGGACCATAAAAAGATATACAAGGCTTCTACAATCAAGAAATGAAAGCCAAAAACAAGTAACAAGACTGTATCAGAATGTAGATTAAAAGTCTGACTTGGGCTGGAGAGACAGCTCAGTGGTTAAAAGGGCTAACTGCTCTTGCAGAGGGCCCTGGTTTAATTCCAAGTGCCCTCATCAGGTGATACACAGCCACCTACAACGCCAGTTCTAGGAGATCTGACACCTAGTTTATGCGCTCAGTGCACATAAACTCATACACATTTACACATAAATAAAAATAACCCTTTAAAAATATGGGGTGGAGGGGATCATTTTTGTTGTTGTTGTTTATCTGTTTAGGTCTAACTCAAAAGGCATACAGTTAGTTATCAGCAGTCCAAGGCTTACTGCCCAGGTATCTCTGTCAGGTTCACTTTGCTTGTACCATGTACTCATTATTCAAAATATAAATGAATATAAATGGAGAAGAGAATGGCTTGAAAAAAAACAAGGCTATAGAGATGATATCACACGTGGCCATATCCATGTAGAATGTGGGAGACAAAAATGGGAGTTTCTGATGATGGCAAGTGGGTAGGTGTGGGTGCTTTTCACTAAGGACTGAAAGAAGAATGAACTTTGATTGGGAGGCAAGGGTGAATGATCAAATGATTGGATTTATTTGAACTGACTTTGATAGTCAAATGA